CACCCTCCACTGCAGACATGTTACTCATTCTCCAAGCATTTCCTCTCCCAATGTCCGTCAGACGCATATACACTTCATTGATCAAACCAAATCCCCTGATAACAATAAATAATAATACAGACAGTTAACATCAGCGGGGAGCAGAGCGGGGAGGCGGGGGGGGGGAGAGACAAAGATGACGACTAAATCTGCATTGTGCCTTAGGAGGCTGATCCCTGCCTTTTCCAGGGATGCTCCACACAATGCGGGGTGTGCAGGTACCCCCGAGGGCGAGCACACACCTCGTCCTGGGGGCCTTCCTGAGACCCCCCCCGTTTGCCCAAGCGTTCGGGCTGGTGATTTCTAATCCCTGAATCCACACAGGCTCCGAAAGGTGCTTGTGTAGGAACAGAAGGTGCTTCTGGCTACGAAGCACCTACCACAAAAAACAGCAATAAATAAAGGCAGTTTCTTTGTTGCGCTGTGCACCGCAGAGACGCCGAGCAATTAAAGGTATCCGGGCATGCAAAGACCCTGGGATGGGTCCAAAGGATTTTTAGGAACACCTTCTCAGCTCCCACTGGAATCTGTTTCCTTTGTACCGAAGACAGAGAGCACCTATGCAAGAAACCAGGTTAGGAAGACGGGCTATTAAACATCCCTCTGCTACACGTGCCGGGTGTTTCAAGGGCTTTAGGGCTTCTGGGGCTTTATTTCCTAGTTTTCTGGGGCTGAAACAGGGGAGGCAGGAGACTGGGATTGCCCCTTGGGATTTTGGCTGGTTAGACACCTTGTGTGGGTCTGGCAAAGGGAAAGTGGCTGCAGTGTAAGCGTTCGGGAAGTTGGGGAGGGTGGGGCTATCTAGAAATCTTTGACTCACTGGGGTAACTCCCTGAGCACAGGAATCAAATTATTGCTCAAAGCAAACTGCATTTTATGAGCAGCAGCCTCAGAGTGAAATTCTGCCTGCACACAGCTAAAATAAACACATGGAAATAAATATACAACACATAATTAAATTATTGGGTGCAATGCAGAAGTCCCTGGGTGATGGAAGAGGTGGGATTATGCAGCAAAGTCAGTCTGGGAATCCACAGATACAAATTTTCTTATTTATACCAGCATAATCCTGATTGGCATCAGCCTAGATAGGGGAAGAATCCAACCCTGTGTACTGAAGGATCTAATCTTTGGGAAAAGTAGACTGGATTAGAGACTGTATCTGCCAACCATCCTTTCACTCCCTTTAGATTCTCTCACCATCACAGCAAGATTTTGCCATCACATAGAACATTCTGCATCCATTGTCTCCTTCCACTTCCCTTATCTTCCTTCCCCAAAAAAATGTTTGATTTTTTTTTTTTAAAGTTTTGTAGCAAACACATAATTTCTTTATACAATTTTACCAAGCCTTCGGAGGATACTTATTTCAAGCAGTTAACACCTGACCCCAATTTTTGTGGGTAATTAGTGAGCTAGATAACCACACAAAGTGGGTAATTATTTAGTACCCAAGGGTACTGTACAAGAGGGTAGAGGCTGGCAGTGTTAACAAAAGCACATCTCTAATTATTGTATCCATACTGGTGATGTTTTAAGAATAGTTACTCCATCTAATGATCCATGATAAATCAGTAAACTATTTTGCTTCCCTTAGCATGTATCCCAGGGATGACCAGGATGTGAGGGCAAAGCAAAGGGAAGCCCTGACTTCAATATGTTCAAGAGAAGCAAGGAGGCATCCACTTGGAGAAGGAAGCAAGACTGGAAGTGCCTGCTCTAAAACAGCCTAATAACCATCCCTAACAGGTTAACAGGTTGGTTGGGATGGCTTGAAAAGCCATGTAGGAAGCTTGTAGGGCATGGCTCGGGGTCTGCTTCCTGCTTAGGTAACGTGGCCACGCTGATGGATCTTTGTCTACAACCATAACCTTCATCCTGTTTTAACAGAGTTCACTCTTGCTCCCTGAAAATCAATTTAAAGCTGTGCAAATGAGGTGTCTCGTGTTTGGGGCAGCTCAGAAATGCCAGAGAGTAGCACTGGGAGGGGAAAAAGAAAAATCCTACTCGATGAATTTCAATTCTCTGTCGTCTCCAACATTTATGTTGCAACAACCACATTTCTCCCATGGAAAATATTACATCCTTAGTTGACTTCTTTCCTCAAATTTAAGAAGGAAGAAATGTGAACTATATTGAAATAGAAACCAAATAAGAAAGATTCAGCTGTAAATACATACGAATCTCTCCAAGGTGGGTGCCAAGAGGATGGTGCCAGACTCTTTTTGGGGGATCCCAACAACAGGATGAGGAGCAACGGCCATAAAGGAAAACATAACAAGTTCCAGCCCAACATGGGGAAGAATTTAGGGTGGCAGAGCACTGGAACAGCTGCCCAGGGAGGGCATGGAGTCTCCCTCTCTGGAGACATCCCAACCCCACCTGGACATGTTCCTGTGTCACCTGCTCCAGGTGACCCTGCCTGGGCAGAGGGGTTGGACTGAGGTCCCTTCCAACCCCAACTATTCTGTGACTGTGTGAAAAAAATTTGGTTTATATCAGCAGAACCAGAGGATAAGAAGTGTTGTGCTGGAAAGAGAGCAGCACACACTCACTTTTAGGGCATCTTCAAACCAAGACATTACGCTCAGAGGAAAAGCACTTTCCTTTTTTTAATTGCTTTTATGAATCATCACTGACATGCAGACACTTCATTTACTAGAGTCCAGTAACCCTGTTTTTCAAAGGCTCAAATTCCAAAACCTTAAGGGCCAAAAAAAAAAAAAAAAAGAAAATACCAGAGGTATCATTCTAGTTTGATCACAGCAATGAACTCAGCTTGGTGCTTTGGGATCATCCAAGCCAGGCACTCCAGAAGAAAACACAACTGGCAGCATCACCTGGCCCTGTGACCACCAGGAATGTAAAATCTAAACAGGGAAAGTTTGAGGGGTTTCCACAACTCCTCATATTTCTCTATTGTTCTGTGCTTGGGGTTGTTTTTTTTTTTCTTTTGAGTGAAATAACCACAACTGAAAGAGGCCCGAAAATTGTTCTTATGTTTAAAAAGGGGCCAAGTCTCTGCAGCTCATTTATAAATAAATAGAAATAAATTGGCCTCCCCCTCAGTGATCCTCTCAGGGACCTGGTTTGCAGCAAAAGTTCTTGCACAAATGGAGTGAGAGGAAGTTTGCAGAGAGAAGCTGGAAAACAGAAAGGGAGAATGAATTTAATCACAGAGGTGGGATCAAAGCAAGAAGAGACCTTGGTAGGTGCACAGTTAGAGCAGAAAGTAGAGAAAATACAAACTATTTCTTTCTTTTTTTTTTCTCAGATCAATTGGAATTAGCAATTCATAGGAGAAGGAATGTTCAGCCAGGGAGGAAGCTTTAGGGACTTAAGCATTAACTATAAAACCTTAAGGCCTTTCTGAGACAAGTCAATAACTTCACTCTAGGCAAACTTCACAGAGATTACTTAGGAAATATCTCCAAAATAACACTTATAGCTCAGCTATAGGGACAGAATACATGGGAATAGTTTACAAATTAATAAAATGTCTTCAGAGGAGTGAAAAGCATTTACTAATACAAACAGGATTCTAATGATGTGAGGAATGGTACAAATTCACAGTGTGGGGCACAGCCATGGAAAGCAAAACTGGGCAAAGGTATCCTGACTTGGGTATTTCCAGAACATCATTCTACAAAAGGAGGAGCTCAACAACCAAAAGCTTCTGATTTGAACTTGACTGTTTTGTAGGCCACTGGCCAATTCCACATCAAGTCAGTGATAAAATCACTTCTTACCTTGCTTGCCCACAATACAGAACCACCACAACAATGCTCACCGTGCCCTGGGAGGGAGTGAGGTCCTTGGAAGAAAGCTGCTGTGTCCAGAGTGCTTTTGTCATCCCCATCTGATGCCCTGTCAGTCAACAGAGAGGATGGAGTGTGGTTGAAGATGGTGTAAATTCCATTTCACCACCACCAATTCCTTTTATCCTGACTCCCCCACCAGCTTTCACCTCCCAACCCAACAGGGTATTGCCTCACCCAAGCACTGTCCTGACAACAACACAGCTTAAAAAGTGGTGGTTGTATTTTCTCCCCATTCCCCAGCTCTGAAAACAGGTTCTCTTTGAGCTCAGTCCCTGGATAATGGAGAATAATTGAAATAATAAGGTGAAAAAGCCATAAACCAGTTGATTTCCAAGGGAAAAAGCAAAGTGAGGCTGTGCTGTTCCCCTCCTGGGAAAGGCCCTGGGACACTGCCCCCTTACTGAAACCCAAGGCTGGGGGAAAGGGAGAAGTTCAACAAAGGGTCAGCCAATATCCCAGAGGAATTCCAAAAGAAAGGTTACAGAGATTAATTCACCCCCTATCAGAGCACGAGAAGTGGGAACTCTGTCCCCAAATTCTGTGTGTTTTGTCTGTGGGGAGTCACCAATCTGCCCCAGTCCGTGAGTTCTCCCAAACACAAGGGATTTAAGGGAACTAAAACTCAAGGTAAAACCCCGAGTTATGTGCCTGAAGTCATGCAGAAAAGCACTACATCTCCTCCTGAATGATCTTCCAATTCCACAGCACGGAAAGCACCTGAAAACCCCTCATATTTCACATTTCCACCCAAAGTCTCAAAGAAGACTCGATTCATGCAGAGCACAATGAAAGCTCCAAGAACTTCACTCTGATTTCAGATAAATCTAACCTGGTTTGGTGATGTAACTTCTTAAGATCTGATATTTTGAAACATATCAGTTACTAAGAGATGGAGTTATATGAACACATTAACCTAAAAGGCTGCTACAAAAAAAAACCTGTCTGGTCAACATTTAATGGTTTTTTTTGAAACTTCACTTGGAATATCAATAGAATAATTGCATGAAAAATATGGTGCCTCTCAATGAACTCTTTCTTTTTTTTTTTCTGAAAAAGCCAGTGAAAATAATACCTGTTGAGGCTGTTCAATTTGAGTCTAAACTGCTGAACCCAAATTCAACTTCAGAATTCAGAACTTCACGCAGAAAGGTTGGGGACATTTTGGGAATCTGAGCTGGCAGGAAAAGTAGAAAATTAAATTAAAGTTAGATATCCATGAGACTAAAAGCAGCACTAGAATGAACTGTATTTTGATAGGAAAGGAGTGCTGGGGTCACCTGTAAAGGAGAGACTGTAAATCACAGACTGGGGGCCTGCAGTCCACAGATCTTTTCCCATCTCCTCCAGGAATTCACTGTGGACTATCTTCAGTTCTTCCCTACAGAAAAAAACAACACAAATTGATAAAATAACTATGGCACCTAAGAAAGGAGTTGGGCCTCTGAGCCTTAATTAATGTTTGTAAAGAGCCCTGAGAGACTACAGGGACCTGAAGAACCTCAAAGCACAGTAATTCCTAAACATCCCCTGACCTCTTGTCAGACTTCACCCTTCTCACCAGCACTTATTTCTTTTTAAAGAGAGGGTGGAATTATTTAAAAGATAAAACAAAGATACATTTCCTTGGTTTTCTACTACTAAATTAACTAACACATGAAGGTTTATTTCTCGCATTAAATAAATACATGTCTTAGGCACTGCAAAGGTGGGACACGGAAATATTCCCTCCAGCTGGCTGGTGGGTGCAAGGCACTGTTCCCTGCCCAGGGAGAGGCAGGAGCTGGCTCAGCAGTAGGCAGAGGAATCCCAGATCAGCCGTGCTGACAGTGGGGAGGATCCAACAGCCCTGCCCCTGTTCCAGCCCTGCCTCTCCACGTGCTCCCTGGCTCGGGCAAACCTCTCCATCCCTGCTCCCTCTCCTGCCTGCCTGATGCACTCAGACTGGGGACAGGGAGTCTCTCCTCGCAGGGTGACTCCAGCATGCCAAGACATTTATTTAGGTGTTGCTGTCACAGCAATAACAGGCCTGGGCACCTCGACCCGAGCCCGTCACAGCAGCTCCTGCTCAGCTGCTCCACTGGTGCTGAGAGCAGACTAAACAGCACAGAGCCAGGCATCCAGGGGGATGTGACAGACAGAATGAGTGTCAGGAGGCGAGGAAGACACAGCAGCCTCTGAGGACTCACATTTGGCCCATCAGACGCTGCTCAGTCCCTGCGTGCCAGGAATAGCAGCAGGAGCAGGCGCAGCAGCTCCCGGTGCCATCCACACTTCTGCATCACTTCACGCTGCACTGCAGGCTCTGCTGCACCCTGAACCCAGAGCTGCTGGTTTCTATAATGCAAAAGGACAGCAGAACACCTTAATGAGACAGAAAATGGTGAAAACAAGCAGAAAAATCTGAATATCCTACTTACTGTGATAATAAATAACATTAACAGGTTACTTAACTTACTGTGATAATATAAAACACTAACAGGTTACCTAACTTGCTATGATAATAAATAACATTAATTAGGATTTCTCAAGTGTAATAAAACCTTTTCAAGATGATTTTACTTACAAAAATACTGTTAGATTATAGACATTGCCAATTTTAACTCTGTAGAACCAATGAATGGCTGTCAGCACAAAGGCAGTCCATCAGAAATATTTTTTCACAGAGAATTCTTCACTTGCAATTCCAACATGACTGTCCCTGAACAACTCACACAAGATCAGTTCCTCTGTCTTTACAACACTCCTTCTGAGGAACAAGGACCTCTGTTTTGTAGGCAGGGAATAAAACCAAAGAAAAATAAGTGACTCATCCAAGACCCCACAGGGAGTCCAGGGCACAACTTCAGGGTCTTCACCAATGGTTTAATAAAGAAAAATAAATTGTTTCACTCTAAGGGTAGAGGCTTTGCCCCATTAATAATAAAACAGGACAAGCCCCAGGAGCTGTACACAAACCAGAATCCCTGGCAGTGGAGACAATATTAAAATGGCAAAGCTAATTCACCTGGTGTCTCTAAGAAATCCCACCTTGTGTTTCCCAGGAACAACTTCCACCAGCCACCAGAGTAAACACCAATTCCCTGGGACCAAACAGAACCATGATCCCAACCCTGGTGCCCAGAGAAACCCTTCCCAACATAATCTACACCTGGGATGGTTCAGTAACAGCCCCTAATTCTCATTATCTGACCCACACAGGTGGTCTCCTGCTTCCCTCTCCAACAGATTGTCCACGTGGACCCAAGTGCAGCAGCAGGTCCCAAGTGACCATTCCATCACTTTCTTGCTTAATTGCCATTTTTAATTACTTGCCTGGCAACAACAAAAAGCCAATCTAGCAACGGAAATCCATTCCTTCAACAACTTCTGCCTCTCTCCTCAGACACCAACTATTGCTCCATAAGCCATTCCTGATTAACGTGGGGCCCTCGTGGGAAAGCCACTGCCCGTCTCCTGGTTTCATTTCCTACGACTTCCCTCCTTCAACTGACAACCCAGGTCCCTCAAAAGCAAGGGCAAAAGATCCTTCATTTTACTGTTACAAGATGACAGTGTTTTTCCCCCTCGCTCTTTTCCTTCAGGAAGATATATTAGCACTACATTTGCTCCTCCATGTGGTGGGATTTCTTAAATAAAAACGTATGTTACATACGTATGAGCTCGGGACCAGAGCTGCATTAACTATCCACGTTTGCTTCAGACTTGGCCAGCCACCTAGAAAACCTGCCAAGACCTTTCTGGCAGCCTTTTCCCAACAGTTCCAGGAAAACATGGAATATTCAAAGAATTCGAGGGCCTCCCTGCTTCGTTTGTCACCACTCTCCTTGCCCACTTAAAACCAAATCACAGGCAAATTGCTCTAATGCCCTATTAAAGATTTAAAAGTGGTCTTCTCCAGAGCAGGGTATCTGAGGACACATCTGGGCTAATATATAATGCAAACCCCTCGCTCAGATGTGATGCAATGTGGCACCAGGCAGTGAGGGAGCTGCTTTACAAACTTGGAGCTTCCCCAGTGAATTCCATCCTTCCTGGAGCTTCTAAACCTCCCTCGGACACCCAGGGAAAGGAGAGACTCGTTTTGTCCTTGTTGTTACTCCAGCAATGGCTTCCAATGGACAGAGGGGAGGTTTAGATGGGATATTGGGAAGGAATTCTCCCCTGGGAGGGTGGGGAGGCCCTGGCACAGGTTGGGTAGAGGGCCCTTGTGGATTTATTAGATGCTGTAATAAACTAAATATCAAAATAAATAGGGAATTATAAATATATTTATAATATCATACACCATAAATGATATATTACTATATTATACATTCCTAAAAATAAATACAATATTGCTGATCAGTAACTTCCATCCTAAAACCTACAAACAGACCTGATTCACAGTCTAACTACATCATTACCAACACAGGAAGTAGTGGACACTGATTGCATTTTGTCCACTAACACCTCCTCTAGTTTAACTTCTCATTCACTAATTATTCCCACATTCAAATGAGGGGAAGCACGTGACTGAATTGTCTTAGGGCTCTTATAAAATAAGTTCTTCTTTCACATTTCAAAAGCCACTGGAAGGGCACTTTCTCAAATCAACTCAAACCACAAGATCTGTAGCAGAGAGCAATCGAGTCTTGCCTTCTTCCCTTCCCACTTCCTTCCCTGTTTTTCCTTCTCTTCCTCTTTCTTTTTTTAAAATCCCATCCTCCAAATCCAACAACCTCCTTTATGAAAGGAAATGGGAAGCCCAGGGGAAGCTGTGGCAGCTGACAGGCTGCAAACACCACTGCTGCAAACCACTCTCTGATGCCACAACTGCTATTTGTTGTCAGAGGAGATGAGAGGCCACTTCAAACACAAGAAAAACAAACTTTTCAATAAACCCACCCCAGTGCCATTAATCCCAGAATGGGTTTGACCTGCTGTTTACAGCAATTCCTTAAATCTCACTTAAGCCAAGGAATACAAAGGGCCTGCCTACACTCTGCAGGAGCTGCAGTGACCCCAAATCCAGCACCGAGCACAGATCTCCAGCCAGGATCATCTGGGAGTGAAGATCAGCTCTGACCTCACACTGGACAGTGGGTGTGAAGGCAGAGCCAGGTGTGACCCCCTCACTGCTTCTGGGACTTTTATTACTCCTGGCAATACCAGGCTTCCAAGAAATGGGGAGGGAAAAGGTCACAGCATATGTTTAGATGCAGCCCTCAATCCAACTGACCTGGCTTTTGTACCCAGCCCTCCAGTAACACACTGGGGTAAATCACTCACCTTCCTCTGCTTTCCTTTCTGGCCAGGGGACACCCAATCCTTTCCCACTGGAAAGGAGTTATTCAGTGGTCCATGCTTTTGAATAACTATTATTAACACTGCAGTACTGCAGTTTTTCAATATATGAACCCAAGTGAAGGACAAACATCTATCAACCCTTCCCTTTTCTTTGCCAGTGGCAAACTATGTGCTTAATCCTGTGCAGGGGACATATATAGACTGGGCCAGAATCCAGCCTTCTCCAACATACCTCCTCTAATAGTGACAAGTATTAGCAGCTTGGGACAGGCCAGAGCTGTCCTTCCCTCTGGTTTTTCCCTGGGCTTGAAGTGCTGCACCTCATCCTAAACCTTAAAACATCAACTCTGAACTCCATTCTGAAGTTTGCATAATGAATTACCATAATTCTAGGGATGGTTATTAAAAACACAAGTATCTAATCTGTTCTAGGCTTGCAAACTTCCCATTAACTTCTAAAAGCAATTAGGCTCCTTTCCTAATTAAATACTGGTGGGAAAGAATTGCTTTATGAAACATTTTCAATTTGTCACCATTTAATTTCACTACACGTCTCCTTGCACTCACTTTGTGGAACTATGAGATCCTCAGTCTTCCCTTTCATTTTAACATCCATTTGGTTTTCCTTTCTAATGGGAACATTTCCCTGTAGCAGTTTCAGATTTCTCCCTGCTCTGGACCCTTTTTGCTGGCACTTTTTTGAGCCCCTCTTTGTCTTCTCAGATTGGGTAGAACAGCTGCTGTGCTCTGTCTTTGGGCCCAAAAAAATATAGACAGTGCTCAGAGGATTTTCACATTAGTGTTGAGCAGGGGTTTATCCACTCCAATTTTATAACAGGAGCAAGACTTTAAATGTTCATAAAAACTTGAGTTATATCTCCACTCCATCTAGGAATAACAAGGTCCACTCACCCATCAAGAAGTCAATGAGTAAACAAAACAAAAAAGAATAAATCTGTCTTTCCTGACCGTTTGCCTGCCTGGTTGTGGCTATTCTGGACACCAACAGTTGCAAGAATTAAAAGAAAAATGCCCCATTCACAAAAATACTCTCGCACTACAATCGCTGGGCACGACATTAATGCATCACTGTTAATTATAAATTACTTAAGCCTGACATTTGGTTAATACATCGTGAGAGCCAGAATGAAATCTGTGTGTCACACCTGGAACAGGGAGGAGATGAGGGAAATCACCAGGAAGGAAAAGTGGCAGCAGGGTGAGTTAAAGCTGATGCAAATCCCTCCTCACTGACCCAACAGAGAGCCCCAAACCCCAACATGAGCCTGCCCTGACATGGGAACCTTCCAGATGATCTTTAAGGTCCCTTCCAAGCCAAACCACCCTATGATTCTGTAAGAACACAGGTGGAAAAAAGAAATTACAGACTCCAAATTAGCTACACCAACACTGCTCCTCAACAGGACTCTTCCAAGGCGTCTCGAGTGCAGGTGGTGGGAAGGAGGAGCCACTGCATAAAACACAGAAGAATTTCAATTTCTTTCCATATCTGCCCCAGAAACCTGATTCTCGAACTTATTTAACCAAGAAACAGGGCCATGACATTGCACAAAGAGGCTAATTTCACCCTATAGCCTGTACAGATTATTTGCTGGGGGAGAATACATTTTATATTTTGAATATATAAATCTAAATCTATGCAAGTGGAACTGCCTGGAGCACCAGAGGAGTCAGGGCAACCAGAAGTTTTGTATTCTTTAAAGAACAAAAGAAAAAAAATAAAAAGGAAGGGGGGAGGATTGTTCCCAAATAAAGCATTTTGGATCTTCCTCTGCTATGGGAAATTTCCAAACATCAGATTTCCTTTCTGTTCCAGTTCAGACTGGAAGCTTTTCTCACCAGGTTAAATCCTGCTAGTCCAACCCCACACATTTATATGAGTTTGTCTCTGGCTGAACTCTGAGGGGATACAGAACTCAGCTCAAAAACTCCCACTGGAAATGCTGAACTTCACCTGGTTTCACATCTGAACTGCCGAGCTCTGAGAAGGGAAAAGCAGGAACAAAAAAGTCAAAAAGAGGGATGTGTGATCAGATCTCTGCTCCAGCCTCACACTGCTCATTTCCAACAGAAGAGTTCCAAATATTGAGCTGCCCCATACCAGCTAATACTTTTATTTTCCAATTCCAATCGATACCTCCAACTCATTGGAAGGACATCTGCTTCCCTTACAGGTTATGCTTTTTAACCCTCACACACACAGAAACATCCTCCTTCCTCAGGAATTTCCAAAAGCAGCATTTCTGAGCTCGGGGCTTTGAATCTGTGTAATGAAATTGTCTTATTTTTAACTGTCTGAGCAGCTTTCAAGCAGAAGCGTGTTAGAATCCATATTAATTTGTGCAGTACCCCATCATCATCATCACAATTTAGCTCCCAAGGTTGCTGTGCTTGGAATTCCAGTTATGACATGAATTCTATACATTTTATAGAGATTTATAAATGGCATCAATAGAACACTTAGGGCCTTATTCATTAAACAATGAGTCATTCTGGCATTCCACTCTATTCCATCCCAGTTCTTACAAAACTTTTATGTACAAATTCGACTGTACTTCAAGCATCTGATTTTGAAGTGTTGCAGCATAGTTTCAGCTGGGTGTGGAAATAGATGGAAGGCACTGTTTAAAAAAAAAAAAACAAAAAAAATACAATAAAAAATGCCTCTAACAGTGAAAGTTTCATCTTCCACAAGTATCACAATCATGTGAAAACACAGAAGCAAAAGAAAATCTGCCATGGGCACCATTGCAAGTGTTTTCTTGCTGCCCAGCAAACCAAAGTATTTTGGAATAGAGCACTTTGGTAATAATTCCTGGCAGATAATTTCAGTGGTACACTACAAGAGGCTTAAAGGCTTCCCTTAATTTGCAGTTTACAACCGTGGCACCAGCAAACTAATGATGGGGCAGGACCACAACATGAATTTTTCCCGAATAATTTCCCTAATGACACAGAGCTTTCAGATGGACTGGCTGTATTTTGTGTGTGTGGTGTGTGTGTGATTTAAATGAGGATTGAGTTGAAAATGAAAGCTGAAAATTAAAGTAAGACCTGTCAGCTGTCCCTCAGGAATGCACCTCCATCCCAAACAGTGGGTAGCACAATGCCTGCACAGCCAATATAGGACCTTTTTTTGGTCAATACTGACTGAATCCAGGCAGAGCACATCAGAATAGCAGTGAAATCATGATGCTGTGGGGTTTAGACTTCTCTAACAGCTGGAATATAAAATCTTTAGGGACACACTGGTTACCAGCCAGGGGGAATCTGAACTGTTCTCATTCCATCCAGGTAAACTGGGATATGCTACAAACTGCTCTGCATTTTATGGCTTAGAGACCTCAGCACATGTGACTATTTTACCTTCTCCTTGTCCTTTCAACCTCCTTCCTGACTGCTGGGATTTCTGGAGTTCCTGTAAAGCTGGATGGAGCAGAACAGTCTTGGAAGTCACAGCTCTTCCACCAGATCTGACTGGGATTAGAAAAGAGTCTCAGCAGTTGCTGGGATGAGAGGATGCACAGACACACAACTGTACATAAGGCAATCGAGCACATTATCTGCCCTTGCCTTGGAAACCACTCCAGGACCTCATCATTCCTTGGATGTCTCCAGTTTTCTTCGTTATGTATATAAACATCAGCGCCTGGTTTTTGTCTTTATCCTTAATAAGTCACAGTAAATTTGGACTCCATCTCACTGCATCTGCCTGTACATCAGAACCCCATCTCCCAAGCAATTCCTGTGCCAAGAAAAGCACAGTGCTCTCCACACCCCTGGTCCATGAGGGAGAACAGGGATGTGTGCTGAAGGGAATTGTGCCATCCCCTTCTCATTAATTCCCTCTCCACGCTGCTCTTCAACTCCACTTCACGTGAAGGGACAAAAACAAGACCCAAGTTTACACATTTTGCTATCGCAGGACAAACACTTTTCTGGGAGGGGGATTGTTTCTTTTGCATTTCACCTTCCAGTGGAAATGTTCCCTGAAAAACAGTCGCTATCTCTCTGGCTATTCACAGGCTCAGCTGAATAAAAACTGGGCATGGCACAGAAATGGAAAAGGAGGAAAACAGGACACTTTTTCCCATTCACTGCTCGAGCTGAGAGAAACAAAACTGGCAATTAAAGACACTGTTCAGGGCGAGCCACCTTCCTTTTGCTTCCTCCTCTTCCAATTTACAGCTCATGAGTTGTTCCTTTCCTCGTTGCAAAAGGTCCATAACTGTAACACTGCCACATTCTCCTGGAAATCCACTTAAATGGCATATGATAGAAGCCATATGATAGGAGCTTAATTACACAGAGGGCATATGGAAGGCATATGACATAAGGACATATGGAAGGCATATGATAGAAGGGCATCCGAGGACATATGATGGGAGTCTAATTAATTGACAATACATTCCTCTCATCAGGGGGAGAGCTGGAATGCTATTTTGTTCAGAAGAAAAATATGCACACTGAATTATGTTTCCCACTGACCATTCTCCTCTTTAATTGTTGTTCTTTGGGGCAAGATGGATCATTTATAATTTACATATCATACCATCGACATACTTAGCATGAAGTTATGTTTAATGGCCACAAGCTGCATTAGGACAAACCAGCACTATTTTTGAAGCTTATAGCTGTGCAAAGCAAATCTAAAATGCTCCCACCAAAACAAGAAGAGACTGTTCTTATTTGGGATTATTACCAGTCCTTCGTAAAGGTGCTCCCAGAGAAGCACCAAACAGGGTAACAAACCCAACCCTTATGGAACAGCTCTGCTCTGGATGGGAGTCAATGCAGCTCGTGGATTTACAGCTGAAAATTTGCACACTTCCATCTGCAAAAAGATTTATGGGGGGGGAGGAAATAAGGTACTGCCTAAAACATGCCAAAAAGATTCCTTGTTTTTAACTACCTGCCTGTCCTTAATGCATGAAACACAGAAGCAGGGTTGTGTTAGCCCAGAAACTTTCCTTGTCCTGAGGAACTGCAGAGTTATAAACCATGGCAGTGACATCTATAACCTCTTTGAAAACAAGATGAAATAAAACCCCACTAATCCACTCTTTGGATAAGAAGTGAGCCCTGTGTAATGCTCGAGAACCCTCCAGCTTCTCCTTGCATTCAGTAACCAAGGATCTGCAGATATTCAAGTTTTTAAGTGCCATTTTACCAGAAAAAAACAAACCCACAACGTTTTTCTGGGTTACTTAGATACCTTGAAATATCATTATCATGTTCACACTTTTAGGTTAGCCTAATGAAATTAAGCCAGTGACAACTCTTTACTTTTATTCACTAGCTTAGAAAGTTTACCCACAGGCAGACAGTGCCTCTTATTTCTGGGAACTGGAAAACTCTTGCCAGAATTAGTCATATACGGAGTCAAAAGATCTAAGGTTCAGGTTCTGGACCCTGATCAGGTCTTCTGGTCACCACTTTCAGGCTGCCAAGGGACCTGAACCCTGAACACTCCCAACATTAAGATGTACACTTTTGTGTTCCAACTTCATGAGATAAAACCCCAGAGTTTCAGAGGGTTTTTTAGGTCACAAATATTAAGGCAAATAAACACACAGATTTCAACAGCATTTAGGCACAGCTGGTATATTCCCTGCATTTCAGGCAGGGGGGTCTTTTGTCCTACAGCTTCTCCACAACACTTGGGGTGGTCCCACAGCTCCTGAACCCAAACTGCTGGGAGGGAGAAGCAAACCAGCTCTATTGGAGGCAGCCAGAAGCATCAACCTTTGAAACCCCCAATATAACTGTGCAAACCTAGGGAAAAACCCTCCAGAATCACCATTTTAGCTGAGTGTAATCACCTGTGGGTATCCCTAAGAACAGCTCTCCTGAGGGCTGGGGAGATTTAGGTACCTTCACAAAACCCCTTTATCCAGAAGCATCAGCACCACGGGGTTTAACTCCCAGTGTGGAATTAACTGAGACTAATGGAAAGGGAACAGATACAACACAGGGTGTTTTTACCTTTGGAGATTCCTGACTGCTGACCATGGAGGCAATAACACTGACATGTTTTTGGGGATGTTACACATTAGCTGGAAGGCTAATAAAGTCACACAAGCACTACTAGTCCGCTGGATTTGCTAAAAACTCAATAACACTCCACCAACAAGTGAAAAAACGCCGAGAGAACCAACATTTCTGGAGTTCTAGAGAGGCAGAAGAAAATAAAAGGAGTTTCCAGCTCATCTTACCTGCTCTTTGCTGTTCCACATGTCCAGAGCTGAGGAATTACAGTCGCTCCTCACGCTGTTGTGTGCAAGACCCAAGGAAAGCTAGGAGGTTGTACAGTTATCTCCCTTGGTGTAATTCTAAACTATACAACCTACTACCTCAACCTGGATGCATGCAGTCAAAAATGCTGAATTCTACCCACCACTCCACGGCAGACACATTGTGCCAGGGGTTTCCACTTAAATAAAAAAAAAAATAAAAAGAAAAATAAAAAAAAGAAAAAAAGGCCTCCGGATTCTCGGCGTGCTGATTTAGAAGTAAAAAAAATATGCTTTGTTTGGACAAACAGCAGCTCCCCTACGTGTGTGATTAGATAAGACACAGCAAGGCAGGGTTATTCCTGCTAGGTACAGATCAATTTTCACACAAGAAGGAATTTTGTCCCTGGACAAAAAAAAAAAAGTAGTTTTCCCCCCCCCTTCCGCAGCAGATGCATCTGCACTACAGCACAGAACATACACATACATTTATTTTTTTGGTGGTTTTTTTTTAAAGCACTTAAGAAGGCTCAGGATGAAATCTGTCCTGACATGTCTCTTCCTTTTTGAACACACATAACGTTGACCTTGGAACAGGCGCCTGGGCTCCCGGATGTTTAAAGGACGATTGCAGGAGTGGGATTAGGAGAAGAACTGCAAAAGGGGGCAGAGAGTTTTGAGCGAATTTTACCCTTGTTAAAATTAACCATTTTAGAAAAGGCAACCCCGAGCCTCTGCCAGCAGCCAGCCAGTGTTCCCTCAGCGAGGAACATGTTTTTAACTTGCATTAGGGCACAGTCAAACAAGCAGGATGTTATCCTTGTGACTCACTCCCATCACCCACCAAGGTGCTACTTAAAGCCCTGTGCTGCCTTTTTTTATTATGGCTCACAAACAGGGATTAAAAGGCTCACAAACAGGGATTAGCATCCTAAAATATGCTGCTGGAGCTGGCTGAGTGCTGAGATGCTGCCTCTCAGGTGAGGGCACCCTCAGGCACAGCAGCTCCGGGCTGGAAGAGGATTCCACAGGAATCAAAGCCCAGGAAAGGGTGCTGAGCTCTGCTCAGTGCACGTGGGCTTGGCTGGTCCTGTTTTCTCAGGATAAAGGAGCACTGCTGCTTGTGAAAAAGGCACCTTTACATTCCAGGACTGAACAGAAAGAAAGGAGGAAGATGAGAAATAGCATCACTCTGCAGAATTCAGCTCGCAACAGCAGAAGGATATTTGGGAAAAAAACCACAAAACAATCTTTCTGCAAGGTTTAAATGTCCATGATGTTGACAGGATCCAAATTTCTAATGACTCCATACTTGGTAAAGTTTACTTTGACCTAGTGGTGGAAATACAACATATTATTTTAGTTAACAGCAGAGTCACTGTGAACTATTTTATTAGTCAGAACAGTGATCCAAGCACAACTCTGGATAAGGAAACCACGGCTCTCTGGCCCTGTACTCTGACCAGGAGCTTTACTGTTGTCTAAAACCATCCAAATCCTTGATGCAACACCAGCATTTTTGTGCACTGAACATTTGTTCTCTGACATGAGGTCCTACTATGCAACTAAAGAAGCTCTGTGGAACCTGTGTGCTCACTTGGGGCAATGGAAGATCCCAAATCCCACCAATCCCTACGTGACAGAGGAGACAAACTCCACTTTAGACTTTAAAAACCACCCTCTTTCACATTTTGCAGCTATAAAATGAACCCTTTCAGCATCACATGCCTAAACCCCTCAGATTTTCCACAACTTATCCTTGCAAGTATTTTTCTGCACCTCAGTCTTTTAACAGTTAACATTACATCATTCAAAGCATTGTAAAATTATTGATTAAACTGATCAGATAGAGATGTATAGATATATTCAGATGGACTTACATGTTATATATAATTATATATAATACATCTAATATATTATATAGTTATATAATTAGTATACTATATATTAGTATATATATATATTATAATTGTAATAATTATAATGAATATATATATGCTAATATATAATATAATATTTAATAAAGTTAATAATATATATAATATATTAATATTATATATATATATATATTATACATATATATAATATAATATAAATATAAATTGATGTAATATTATATCACAGAATCAACTAGGTTGGAAAAGACCTCTGAGATCATCAAGTCCAACCCATGACCTAACACCACCTTTCTATTTATATAATATTTTTTAAATTATATATATTTAGACAATTTGCATATAGATATATAAATTGATTAGCTATAGATGAGGAAGGTGCTCTTAATCTCATTGCATTGAGATTAGCACACCTTGCAGACCAGGTATTTCTAAGTAGAGCTGAGCAAGAAAACTTGTCCCATAATTTGCTCCAAAATAGAAGGTAAAGAGTTTTGTACCCTCAGTTCAGCAAAGGTCTTTTCATACACACACTACAATAATAAATTCTGTTTGAAAAAATTCCTTTACTCTCAACTTGCACCTAAACAACCTGAATTCTTCTCAGGCTGGCAAAGGTCACTGTGGCTGTTTTGTCCATGACTTGCTGCTCTTCCATCTCTTCCTCAGCACGTTCCCCGACCCCTGAGCTGTCAGCTCTGAGCTGGCACCCCCTCAAGGAGCCTTCTCCCTCCCTCCCCCAGCTCTACATTGAGCAGGGGAGCTGTGCCCTGCCTGGCACACGAGTCCTGCCCCAGCCCTGAGCCCTGCTCCGAGGTGCCAGGGAATTGTTGCTTGGACAACACTTCTCCGAGTTCCCACACGTGCCAATGCCACTCAGCACAAATGGGACAGAAATAAGGGACCTGGATGGACTCAAAGTACTTTCTATCCACAAAAGCAGTTTCTATCCCAACCCCTAACCCACCCTCTGGTCAACTTTTAGACACCTCCCCATCCTGCTGCACAGATTTGGACTCGATGATCTCAGAGGTCTTTTCCAGCTTAGTTGATTCTGGGATTATCCTGGCAAATCTTCCCCCTTTATTCCCCCTGGCTTCAGCATTTACAGGTGTTTTGTCCCCAAGCTTGGACACCTGAAAATGTCTTTGCATCCCAGAGGAACTGGAACTTCAAGCAGCAAAAAGTGTCAGGCACCCTTCAATCAGAATATCTGCTGCTGTTACTGAAGTGTTGAGTTTAAGAACTGAGATCAAATAGGAAAAAAGAAGTTTCTGACTGCCATTCCTTCCGTGCCTTCATGTCATTCCTCAGTGCCTGGGCCTGTGGTAACTCCCTGTGTCCACAGCAAACACCCCCCTGGGAGCAGAGCAGGGCACGGTCCCAGTGTCTGGTGAGACACTTCCCTTTGGTGGCACGAAGCTCCATGTGTGTTTTCCGGTGATTTTTGCCAATTATGGCTTTACCCAATTAGCACAATCACACCTAATTGGTTAATTAGGGTAAAGCAGTGATCTAATGACAATGTTCAATCACGATATGTATCGATGGCATGGAAGTTCCTGTGGAATGGTGGGACAGGGAGAAGAGCAGAGCACGTTCTCCTGCATCAGCCTCTTGCCTGGGAACCCTTTTAGGCCTCTTGCTTTTTCAGAATCCCAGAAATGATTTCCCACTTCTGTGGACAGAAGGAAATCTCAGTGCCAGCCCAGCCAGGCTTACTTGAAAGCAGCAGTGTAATTAAAAAAATCCTGTCTGGTTATTTGGTGTAACCCTCTGATTCCCGAAATGCTGAAGGAAACGTGAAGACAATTTCCTTGGATGCTTATTTTCATTGTCATTGGAGCAGCTCTCCCCAGACAGATCCAGGCACCAGCCCATGCCACTGCCCTCAGAGGACACCCTGAGATCAAGGTGTAACCTTTACTCTGGACAAGGAACTTCTGCAGCAGCATCACTTGTTTTACTGTTTGTTCCCTTCAGCCGAGAGAAGAATTCCCAAACCTGCTTTCCCCACTTCACTTTGGTGTAATTCCAAATTTGTTATTTAATTTCTCCAAGAACAAGGAGAGAATTCCAATCCAGAACTGATTTTGAGGGTTGACTGGCTGGAACATGCCACTCTTTTCGAACATACTTCACACCAATTTAGTCACAATACACAGAAAAACAGGGTTTGAGAGGGCAGAATATTCCCAAATAATGACACAGAAAACAGTGCCTCAAGGTATTAATCCCCTATATCACCCTTTATATGCATTTTCAGACCTCCTATTGATATGGACAAGATATGAACAAGACCACAAGGATTCCAGCAATGGCCACTCACTACAGATGTGTTCAGGAAGCTGAATTTTTGTTATTATACTCAACTGAGCTTTGGTTCTGAATCTTTAGGGCTGTGAACGATGCAGAAGAAGGAAGAACCCACCTTCACTCTCAGATCCCAGGCAGGGCTTGCAAAGGAAGGGGGTGGGAAGCAGAAAATACTCATGAAGCAAATGTGTTTCCTTAAGCCATTGAGTGAAAAATAAATACCAAAACCCACAAATGATACTATTCCAGTTTGAGGTCTGAAATCTTGTTTGCCAAATTTCAGCCTGGAGTGATCTTTTTTTATTTTTTTTTTCCCAGCTGATTTTCCTGAACCTCAGACAGAAGGGATTTTACACTGGAAACGCTGACACGATTCCTTCTGGTCACCTTCGCTTGAAGAAACTTTTTTATTAGAACTTGGTTGTGATGAGGAACCTCAAGAGGTTCAAAGGTTTACTGCAGCTCAGAGAGCTCTCCTAGAAGTCTGGCAAGCACACTAAACAGGGCTGGAACTTCAGGAGTCTGCAAAACAGGGCAAGAAGCCTCATCTGGGCTCAGCCGAAACCGAGAGCGAGCAAATATTTTGAAAGCAATCTAAAGTTTTTCAACACATCACAAAAACCCTCCCTGCCTCAACTTTTAGCAAGAATTACAGCAATCTGAAGATTTACTCAACGTTACATTTCAGTGTCTGGTGCTTTCTAGGGGAAGGGTGGCCACGCTCTCAGCCCTGAACCAAAAGGAGCTTTTGGGAGCAGCTGGGGCACAGGATCAGCTCGGGGGGAGACAACAGGATACAGATGCCCTGTGCTGGATCTGAGGGGGCATCAGGGATGCTGGTGGCAC